AAGTTTTTTTTTTTACTAATTGCAAATTCATAAAATCATTAACTCTCTAAAAATTCAAGTTCCAAATGTCTATCATGATCCAACCTAGCATCTATCAATATTCAATTCTCAAGAATTTTCATTAATATTAACTATTATAGATGCAAAAGATTTGACATCATTAGAAAATCTAAATATTTTTAGTTTATAAGATGCATATAACCAGATAACATTTTGCGTAGTCTCTAACTGTTCACTTAGTTACCAAACCGTGAAAATATTTTTTCTTAAACTATCTAAGTTAGATAAATCAAGATTTTATACAATGATATGTTCACTCATTGTATTAAATCTCAAAATAGAAACTATAATTTCACTAAATTTGAATTTTTAAAAAAATATATGGGATCATAATCATAACCTTTATGTATGTTTTGCTAAGTATCATCAAACAACCATTATTTTACACATGCATAATCTAGTACATTATGATCTTCACACATGCTTTTACATATTCACATTAAGAAAACTAAGTTAATAAAAGATTGAGGAACTGAAAAGACATAAGATTATTAGAGCATATATATTGAAATATGCATGTGTAAAATCATGGTTGTTTGATGATACTTGGCAACAAAAAATAATTCAATGCATTAAACATGTGAATAATTATAAAGTACTCAACACAACTAGCATCTCACATCAACTTAAGTACAATCGCACTTTATTGATCATCGCTTCTTAATAACAAATACCAATTAATTATGTTAATTTTAAACTACTTAGCACATAGTAAGTACCTTGCATTAATTCGAGCAATATCACACTCAATAGAGCAATGTTCTCTGCTAACCAAAAAATAATTTAATATATCAAACAGAAACATAATCTTAAACTACTCAGTTATAACTAACATCCTATATTAATTTAAGTAAAACCACACTCTATTAACCTTTATTCTCCCCACTAATAAATAATAATGCAATACATCAAATACATGCATAATTATAAAGTACTCAACATATAATCAACATCGCACATAAACTTGTAAACCTTAAATTTAATTTTCAATAGATAATAAATTTTGCAAATTTTTGAAATAATAAAATTTCTATTTTAATTCAAGTTCATCAACCATTTCAAATAAAGAAAGGGGTTACAAATTATATCAAATAGACGTTACAGGACTTATTCTAATACAACAGTTTTCCAAAATAATGTCCTAAGTCCTATAGCAGTTCCATCCACCCCTTCACTGAGCCCGGTGCTGATCGTCTTAATTACCTGAAAAATGAATGTAAGGGTGAGTACTTTACACTACCCAAAACACATAGTCAACATAGAGTCTCATCTCCAGAACATTTCCAATACATTAACCAAGCACAAACACAAGCAATATTTCACATCCATAAGTGTAATTCATAAACCCAATGCATATGCACGCCAGCCACATTCATTGCAGCACTGTGATCACAGATTTACACCATGAATGGTCACCAGTTACCTCCACCTCACAGATACCACGTGGACAGTCACGGATCGCTTAGCAAAGGTAATAGTCAGAGGTCTAATCAAGAAGAGAGTGTGTGGCCCGTGGTGCACCCATTCCGCAGTCGGTGTCACCACCACTCCCTGTTTCCCAAGATATTTCTACCGTCCTCATCTTCCATACCTCCAGTGTATCGCTGAATCATTCACAGCACATTACAACGGCGCTAACACGCCCATTCACACATATTCTATTCACGCATGCAATAATCATGCCTACACACGGCACACAGCTCACATTACATTCAAATACACGGTACTAGGTGTACATTCATTTCACATTACACGACATATAGCCAACATTCATCTATATTACATGGCCCTCAGACCCACATTTATTCACACACTGCAATACATAGCAAAATTTCATCAACCACATATTCTCTCATCCATACACATAATATTCATATATCACTGCACATGGCCGACATCATATTTCACAGTAATTTCCTATCTTCTAATCAGCTACATCACAATATTCAACTAAATAACGATAAATCGCATGCAAAGAGTAGGGTAGAGTCTCCCCTTACCTCGAATTGATGTCCCACACGCTAAATCCACCAATAAGTACTCCCCCTCACAGATTTCGTCCTAAACACATAGAGAAACTCCATGAGAACCCAGGGAAACCACAGAAATAGAGAAAGGGGATGTAAAACTGAAACCATAACCATTAAAACTCACTTCCAAGTGTTCCCCACACAGATTCAACCTTTAATCAAGCTCCCGAACGGCTTTGGAGGTAATTTAATCGGTGAAAAGGGCTTTGGGCATGAGAGGATCAAAGGGAGAGGGAGAAATAACTCTTCCCGTATCTTAACCCCCTTTAAATCCTTTTTTGGTCGCGACATTCTCGCTACAACGAGATATTTTTGCTGTAGCGACACGCCCTCTCGTTACAGCGAAAAAATCAGAGAAAATTGCACTCTGGTTTCTACAAAATCTCGCTGCAGCGAGACCTTCTCGCTGCAGCGAGACTGCACCTAAAAATGCACTCCAAATTGTCGCTTTCTCGCTACAACGAGACGTCTCTCGCTACAGCGAGAAGGTGACAGTTTCAGTCCTTCCTCTCAGGGTCCTCTCGCTGCAGCGAGAACAGCTCAGTATCTCGCCATTTACTTAGGCACTTTGCCCATTTCAGCCCAACTAGTCATGCATACACACACACACACACACACATATATATATATATATATATATATATATACACACACACATACATATTCACAACATATATCTAAAAAAATACACACATAAATATATATTTATATTTATATAATTATCAATAATTAATATTACAAAATTCAGAGTGTTACAAAACTCAAATCAACTTAAGCATTATCACATATTATTACTCCTCACAAACAAATAACATATATAAATTTCTTGAATAATCAAATTATAAATAAATTATTGATAATCATAAAAAAATCAAACATTAAGGAAACACACACTGTAGATAATAAAAGTAGCAAAACCTGCAATTTAGGAAAGAAAAAAATTAGTTTACCGTAAAAAGTTTGTTTTTCTATTTACTACATAAACTTAACAACAAAGAAACAATTATATAAGTTAAAAATAGTTAAGTACAAAATAATTATTTACATAACTTCATTGTGAAACAAAAAATTGAACAACAAGTCACAAATAAATATTACTTTATTTTTTATTTGTAAATAAGTTTTTTCAAAGTGATTTAGAATTAAATGATTTAAAAGACGAGAGAGATTGTAGTAATAGGTGAAAGGTACTTAGTTTAATAAATAAAGTAAAATAACAAAGACTTTCCAAAAGAAGAACACGTTATGACCATGTTTCATGATATTCGATCATAAAATAAGTTATAAATAAATAAACTTTGAACTTGATTTTTTTACATCAAATAAGGTTTGCTCTACATGTAGTAATTTTTTTTCATTTAAAATATGGACTAATTAAGTTCGCTTGTTCAATGTTTTGGACATAACAACTAGGGTGCTATTGGCAGTTTTGTATATGATAGTTTAGCCTAGCCAAACACATTACTAAAAACATAGTTTTTTTTACCAGTTTATTTTTTGTGATTATGTTAATTGCCCCAAAATTATTAATTAGCATAGGTATTATCACTAATTATAATGTGACATTAGCAATTTACAAAAATTTACCGATGGTTCTAGAATATTGCACTAACAATATGAGCTTGTTTTTACAACAGTTTAGTCCATTAACATTTTAAAATGTAATCTCACATTTATTGAAATTTTTTTAAGAAAAGTTTAAGTATAATTTTTTAAGCATAAAAACTTCACTTTTATAAAGTAAAAATTATTTATTGAAAATTAGACCAATAAAAAAATCATGCATCTTAAAACAATTTTGTTTGTTTAAAGTTTTATGAAAGTTAATATATTTCAAGAGAACGAAAATATAACGAGACATTGTGTGCAAATGATGTCACAACAAAATAAAATAAAAAGTTATTAAAGAGAATGAAGACTTTTAATAATCATAGGATAGTCTTACAAGCGATAGATAGATGAGACATAAAATTGCCTAAAAAAATTAATCTTATAAACACATTTTCTTTTGTGTTATAAGTTGGTGAAAATATTAAAACTCAAGATAATATAACATATTATAAGAATATTTCAAGTAATAAGTCTATAAATTATATTACTACTATAAATAAAGAAAATAAGTTTTCATAAAAACTATGCTTGGGAGTTAGCTAATAAAACAATTCAAAGATTTGTAAAAATGTCTATAAAATAAAATAAAGGATCCCTTAAAACAAAAATGAATAAAAGTATTAAGATTTATTGTGAATCTAATTCACTTAATATAACTATTTTACATTATCTTTTCACTATAAATTATCGTGTATTCTAATTAGTTGAAAGTGATTTAATTGTAATATAAAATTTATAATATATTTAAATTAATTAATAATATAAAAAAATTATAGTAATAGTGCTATAAAATTGATCTTATTTATTATTCATTATTCATAAAAGTGTTAAAAAGTAAAATTACTTGAATTAATATAAATTTTAACAATTATTTTTAAAGAAATAAAAACTACTTTTATGACTTAAGGATAAACTAAATTATATATATATATATATATATATATATATATATTAATGCTATCTTAAGTAAAACTAAATTAAAGAGATAAAACTTTTAAAATTGAAGAAAAAATGATAGAAATAAAATTTTAAAATTAATACACATGATTTATTATGCATTTAATTTCTTTAATTTAGATTTTAATTTTTTAATAATTACATTTTTCAAATTTTAAAAATTATTGAATATTCTAAAAAACCTCACATGTTTAATAAAATTTTAAAAAAATATTAAAAATAGTCTTAAATTAGAGTAACGATTCAAATTTATATATATTACAAGTTAAAAAATGATTTTGTAGCATTTTTTGATAGATTTTGTTTTTGCTCTAAGGACACGAACTAATCCAAAACGGAGTGGAGTAAGCAGTGGCTACCAGCCTTATCCCCTGCTGCTTAGAGGGCACAGCAAAAACAGTGGCACTCACTAGTTTCTTCTTTTCCGAGTCGAACACATCACATAATGATTTCAAATTCAATGGTAGTGGCTTCTTCTCTGTTTTCCTCATCACCCTGCGCCCTCTTCACTTCCCATAAGCTTTCTCCTTCCTTCAAACAAAGGCATACACACTTGTCTCTCCCACGCTATTTCGTTTTCAGTTCCAAAAGGACTCTTTCTTCAGTTTGCTTCTCCAACGCTGGAGACAAATCTGACACCAACAAGGCACTCGCTTTTCATCACCTTTTTATTATTATTGTTCTATTGGTTTATTTCAGTCTTTAATTTTGTTTACAAGAAAATGTGAAAATAAATTGTATAAATTGCTTGCGTTGTTCTATTTATTATTTCAGGAATCTGGATTGCAATGGCCTATTCTCAGGCGATGGGAAGTGCCTTGGGAATGGCAAACAGTTTCGTTAACCTCTTTTGCTTGTGGATTGGGGTGTGTTTTGAATCATTTCGTATCATATAATGTTTCGTTTCAAACTTGTATTAATGCAAATAAACTTGGCAATATGTTATAGGTTTCTGATTGTGTTGTTTTTTGAGCCATTAATTTATTCCCAGGCAGTTTTGTGTTGACAGGTTTGGTTGAAGCAACTGCTCTACCGTATCTAGGGATTACACCTGATGTGCTAAGTATAGATGAGAAAGCAGAGATACTTTTTCTCGATCAGGGGTATGCAATTCCTTTCCACATTTTTCAGTATTACCCTTGTAATTCTGGAACATGGTTTGCATTTTCAGACTGTGAAGCAATTTCCATTTTTCAGTTCTGATTTGTCCTGCGTTGGCGGACGGGCCTGATTAAACCCATGAAAAAAAATAGATGTTGACTTTAAAATTTAGGTCAATTTTGAGTCCTTCTACCTAAACTATTTGAGCTTTTATTATTTGATTTGGGTCAGCCTGGTCTATTTTAGAGTGCATGGTATGCAATTCCATGCACTCATTTATATTGCAAGATCACAAGATGTTTGTGGCAGTGAATGATCGGCATTAAATTTTTAGGCGGTCATTTATTGCCTCATTTTCTGATTATTTTATTGCTCAAAACTCACATTCTTGTGAAATGTTTGAGTGCTTACTTTGTAGTATTTACTTTAAATTATAGGCCTCTGTCTTGTTAACTAGTTGCCTTGTGAGAATGGTAAGTATGGAGTCAACTAGATCCATCTAGAAACAATAAAGTATGAAACACCTTGGACCTTTCTACTTTTTGTACCTAATAATCATTCTAATTCTTTCTGGTATTAAAGTCAAATTACATACAGTTCTGGATGATACTCTTATTTTTCATATTATTGTTTTGGCAGCATCACAACTGCCGTTGTACTTGGAATCATATATCGTGTTGTCAACACTTTCGAGCCACTCCCTGAAGACTTCTTCAAATATGGTATTATCGTATAAGAACCTTTCGAGTATATGTAGGATAACGGCTAAAGGTTTCTATCATGAACAATACCTGTGTGAGGCTGTGAACATAGTCCTATAGACAACAAATCAGAAGCTTAAGATAGCATTAAAATAACTTCAGCACTGGTTTCAATACATATTTCATCACTATTCACTGATGCTTATTTCATTTAAATGTTAAAAACATTGCTGCAGATTGGAGGGAACCTTTCAATCTTCAAAAGGGTTGGCTTTTGTGGGCTGGAGTTGGACTTGTTGGTGCCCTAATTGCCATTGCTTTGTTGGGAGTTGCTGTGTCTTTCTTCAATGGAGAACCCCCACAAAGAGAGGTTTGTGATTTATTTTTCGAATTTCACAGGTAGATGAAGATGTATTTCTTAGCTTCTATATATTAAAACTATTTTCTTCATAGTGTTGGAGGAAGCAATTTGGATTTTGATTGAGTTCAATGACATTATGTAATTTATGAAGTCCACCTCACTTGTAGGATAAGGCTTAGTAGTTGTTGTTTGTGTTGGCCGAGGCAATTTAGGGTCACAGATTTTCAAATAGCATTAGTACTACTACTCAATCCACTGATCTTAGATTTACTACACTGCTGTTTGTAGTATGTTGCCAACTTGCCATCATGATACGGATCATCCTTTCTAATTAGAGGCGATCAGATTAGCTTTATCTAATGATGGATATGAATCAACTATCCTTATGTACCTTAGCAGAGCTAATCTGTCTTGATAAGTTCTACTTTGTTTTGTTTAAGATTACCTTTTATTTTCTTGTGGATATCTCTTACTAGCTTGTATAAACTGCTTTTCAGACTGATGCTCTTGTTCGTTTGCTTCCATTAATTGGATCTTCAAATCTCAGGTGCTTTAAGATATCCCATTCCGATATTTTAAATTGTCCTGCAGTACCAGTTATGCTTTGATTACAGAAATTGCAGTCAAATGTGGCTTGTGTGGTAAAATAGCAGTTAAAGATGTATCTAAACCACAATATTGTAATGAAAATTGTGGTTTTAGACTTCAATTTAAAATCATAGTTCCTCTACCAATGAAAAAAAAAACTGCTAAAAGTTTCCATCTAGGTTCTGCATCCCAGATTCTTTAGTAAGTGATTGATTGTTTCATTGTAGCACTGCATGCTTGGTGGGCATCACAGGTGTTCTAGCTCCACTCCTTGAGGAGAATGTATTTAGAGGGTTTTTTATGACTTCCCTGACTAAGTGGTACTGGTTGCTTTCATCTCCTTTCCTTTCTGTTTAATTCCCTGTGATTTGTTGATCAACCTTTTGTCATTCTTTCTTTTTTATTCCCTTGCAGTGTTTTTATTGTTTTCATATATCATATTGGTTTTTGACCCAACTCAATGGCATTTTGTGATCTATGTAGCTGACTCCACCTAGTAGGATAAAACTTAGTTGTTATATATATCATAATAAAATGTGTAAGATAAAGAAACTGTGGCTTGCCTTAAAAGTGAAACTTTTCTTTTTGAACTCGATATTCAATGGCTATGTAATTGAACATAGCAGGTTTCAGCAAGTGTAGCTTCTGTTATGCTGTAGTCAGCTTATCCTTTAATGAGAAGTTGATTAGGATGCATAATGAAGTTTGCCTTGTGCTAGCTAATATCAATTTTCCCTTCGAGTTGCATTTCTGAGCATATTAGTGTTTTTGGACTCAAAATTTAGGTGGTAATTTTTCAATAAGCTTGGTGAGGTTTGATATATGTAATTTTACCTTCAGGAGATTCTATATAGCTTATATGCTGAGGACTGGGGAGGGTAGGTCTTTAGATATTTTGTAAGGTCCAACTTGTAGTTTATACACAAACTTGAGCTTTTAAAATCCTGCTTACACAAAAGCATACATGGGTTTCTATGATGAGACTGTATTTGTATATTATTATAATAAAAATATGTTATCTGATGCTGGTCCAGAGATATAGAAAGAAACAGCGAGAATTGGAAAGAGAGAAGAGAAATAGCAATATGACATGTGAGAAAAGAAGAATTTGTAACCGATTGATGGTTTCACAATTTCACTGCATAGTGCATATTAAAATTTGATTAAATTTTACTTTGGATCTTCTTACTTCTTACATAGATGGCCTGACAAAGTCAAAGCCCAGTTAATAAATATATAAAAGGGATAGATACACCAGATATAATTAAATCCCAAATAAAATCACGTAGTTAATTATTTTCATATGTGCTTAAAATATGCTTTACATTCTTCATTGGATTTTCAATTGTGGCAAATTCAATACTTGTGTATAACTGTATATTATTGATTAGTGATTTTGAGGAAAAATTATTATGGATTCTGATCAGTTCAAAGAACAGTATTATGATAAGATTATGATTTTGGTTTTTTTTTAATTTGTAAACTAGTGGTGCTTTGGTCTGAGTTATTTGGACTAGTAATGTTAGGCTAGATCAGAACTTGAACGTCTCTTATTTTTTCATATCAGTAAATATGTGTTCAAAATTTGTAGATTTGGTTTGTCTGAGATGGATCATGGATGATTATAACTTATACAAATTCTCTTATGCGTGATTACTCTCACTGCAGGGTTCCTACACCAGTTGCTGTCATCATTAGCGCTGCTGTTTTTGCCCTTGCCCATCTCACTCCTGGAGAATTTCCACAGTTGTTTGTTCTAGGTATTGTGTAAATACATGATCATATGATCTTCAGAAGTGGCAATAACGAAGTTTCTTTCATTCAAATTTTTAACTTGAACAAAGGGGAGAAAATGAAAATCTTAGAGCCTGTGGTTTGAGAAAATGTTATAATCACAAGAAACATCACTGGTACTTTTGTAATTATTTTTGGAAAAAAAAATAAAAATGGAAAACATTTTCTCAAACCAAAGGGACCTCAATATTCTCTTGAAATCTGCATTTACCTCTCCATCTACTGTGAAGAAAAGAACGGAAATTTGTGACATATGTAGGTACTGCTTTGGGGTTTTCATATGCTCAAACGCACAACCTTCTCACCCCCATCACTATCCATGCTTTTTGGAATTCAGGAGTTATACTACTTCTTACTTTTCTCCAGGTATTAACTCCATCGATGCGTTTTCATAGTGTAGTTTATGGTACCCCTGTGCAAATCCTGTTAGTTTTTACAATAAACATTTTATTCAAGCCTAAGAATTCTTCTTCTGTTTGTTCATATATAGCTTGAAGGGTACGATGTCAAAGAATTCTTGCAGACAAATTGATGGAAAATTCTCTCCTTTACATGGATGTGGAGCTTGTACAGTATAGAGTACCGATCCATTTATTTGCATATCTATGCTCCCTTTCCCCCTTTCCCCGTTGGAAAATATAATCAGGTTCTTGTTTCAAACAGTGAAGTAGGAAATCATTGTTTGATCATGCAAGTTAGAAGGTTGCCAAGAAATAAGACTCTTTGATCATTCTATTGTTTAGATTTTTTTGGAAAGCTTACAAAGTAGAGTGAGTTATCAATTTATTATTTCTATCTTCTTTTTTTATATGTTAATAACAAGAAGACCGTTCTTTTCTATATCCTTGAAATTGGTAAGGTAGGGACGGGGTGGCAGCAACTGCCTAAGTAAGTCTTCTAGTCTTCTGAGAATAAGAAAAGGACCCAACAAGATCGAAGTCAAAGATGGAAAACGAGTAAAAGAAAAAATTGAGAGGAAGGAGAGGATATGTGGACACGAGCTGAAGATGAAAGTTGTGGAAGGAGATTGGTGGTGTAAAAAATGGCGAGTATTTCTATAATAATATTAAAAACAAAAGCAAAAAAACAAAAAGTGTTTTTAAAAGTAAAAATGGATGGTGTCAAAAGTAATTCGCAAGTACTACCAATTAGTAGGTTAGCTTGTGGCAATGATTACCAAATTTATTTATTTTTTAATATCATAAATTAAAATTTTATTTATTATCATTAAATAGATAAGATCTACTAAGTGAACATTTTATATTTAATTTTTATTTTTATAAAAATAAAAAATATTTCTATTTTATTTTAACATTTTTCAAATAATAATAATAATAAAATAATTGAAGTTAGAAACCTATAAGTTGACCTGGATTATTTTAACTTGGATTAGATAAGTCTAGTAAAAAAATATTTAAGTAACATATAGGTTAATTTTTATTTATTTTTTCTATAATTTGACTCACTCAAAATTTACCAAATTGGTTCATGAGTAGAAACTCACTTTAAATACTTAATTGACTCATGAGTTGGAACAACTCACATTAACTATTTGGAGTGGTCCAAAAATGCATTAGAACAAGGTTAAATAATAAGTTACTATTTTTTTCTTAGTTATAAAAATAATAATCTTATTTTTTAATTATTAATAGAATACTTATAAATTTATGCTATATAATTAAATTTTATTATTTTTGATGAATTAATTAATTGTTTTATAAAAAATATTAAAATATGTATTGTTAGCTTTTATCGTTTGACATTACCGCTCTTCACTCTTGTAACTTGGCTGGCAACTTGCTTTCACATGCTCCCCATAGAGGATATTATTATATGGAAGTGATGAGTATAGTGATGACTTGGCGTGCTCTTAAAGATACCTGCTTCATGTTCTTACTAACATTAAACAAATCAAGTTGAAAACTTGTTGAACTATCAATGCTCCTGAAAAATAATATTTTCAGTTATATTTATAAAAGATAATTATTAATATTTTTTATAATTATAAAAATAAAATTATTTTTAATACATTAATTATTAATATTTTATATTTTTATTTATTATAAGATTTATGTTAATTAGATATTAATTCATTATTTATATAAAGGGATATATTCATTTATTTAATATACAATTTTATTAACTTCAATTATTAAAATGAGTATAAAATTTTAAAACTAGTAATTTTTTATTAAAAATATATCATTTATTATAATTTTATATTTTTAAGTAATAAATATTTTTTTAATAATCATTTTTAATACATAAGAAAATAATTTAACTATCTAATAATATGAGAATTTTTAAAATAGAATAGAGATTTATATTACATAATAATTTTTAATAAAATAAATATTTATTTTTATAAATAAGACATGAAGTTTTAACGCTAAAATGGAACCATCCACACTTGTTATTAAATAAACATTAATATGTGTATTGGAACAAACAAAGTAACAGTACAAGTTACTAATTGAATTTTGTTTCTAGATTATTCTTTTCCCTTCATTTTCCCTCGTAAGCCCGAGTACTAGTTAAAGAATTAACAGAAAATTGTTAAAGGACTATTTTCTTTTAGAGAGAACTAAAAGATACGAACATATGAACTATTTTCTTTTCTGTAGCAAGTGTTAAAGGAAATTGTTTGAAGAATTAAAAATATTTTTTATTACTAAATTTAGTAATATAATTTTATTATGAGTTAATATATTTTTAAAATTTTATATGCTTTTTATGTTTGCCTATTCAGGGGAATAAAGTACGGATAATTTTTTTCATAAGGTATTTTTTAACTAAGTTAAAAAATTCAATAAAAATAATTCAATTAATTATTTTTTGAGTTTTAAAAATGTATTATATACAACATGTTAATTTTATTCTCATTTAATATAATTGAACTTAATCTGCTATCAATATTTTAATTTTGAAAATTTGTTCCTTTCTAATTTTAATTTATTAAGGATAAATAATAATAATAGTAATAATAATAATAATAATAATAAATATTTAATAATATTTTAAAATATTATATAATAAAGACCCCTAAAATCTTCTAGATATGATCCCATTAAAAAGGACTAGAGGAAATAATCAATTTCCGTTATGTTAAAATTAATTACCTTTAACTTTCTAATACTCATTACTATATTATTTTTCATATGTTTACATAAGTGTATAAATTATTTCGAAATTAAGTAGAGATAACGGCATAATTACAAAGTTATTAATTAGTATTGTCTCAAATTTTAAGAAAATAGATAAATAAAAATACTTTTTAAAAGTGAAATAAAAATGGAGTAAATTATTAAAATTAAAAAATCAAGAACAGAATTATGTTGAATAATACTAAATAAAGAAGAATCAAATCAGTAGGGTGTAAAATTAAAATGGACATAAGAGAAAGAAAAGTGAGAGTAGTTAATGGAAAGAGTTGGTGTTATGTGGCATAGAAAGAGGTATAGACTTTGGTTACACGCTTGGGAAGAAAACCTAAGGTCAAGAAACAGGCAAAGGGTAGGCTATATTTTTGGGAGATTCACTGAATTAGGAGTCCCAAGTTTGCAATTTGATTTCACATTAATTAGTGGTACGGCATTGCCATCCAACCCGTAGACAAATATTTGGCCATGCTAATTGCCAAAAATTAATGTGAGAAAATCTATGTTACAGTAAGCAGGGGACCACCAAGGAAATTAATGAAAAAATAATTTACATCCATTAAACGATCATAAATTTTGAAGCAAAGAGATAGATAAAATAACAAGAAAACAAAAGATGCGATAAAAATAAAACACTTAATGATGAAAAATATATGCATAAGAACGTAAATGTAAAAACATAATAGTTGGAAAATTAAAACCCATTTTCAATTCCATTGTTGAAACCTAGCATTTGGTTCCACTAAAAGCAAGAAATTCAGAAATGGTATATACAGTATCTTTTTACCATATAATCCTTGGATGTTATATGTCGAGCTTTTTAACTACATAATTTTAAAAAAAAAATTAGAACTCATTTGTTTTAGTGTGCAAAAATTAATTCTTGTATTTTTAATAAAATAATAAATATTTTAATAAAAATATATAGTTCAAATTAATTAATGCATATATGTCAATTATATTTAATGAATTAAAATAAATTGTTATTAAAACTAATTTTGCTCAACTTTAAATCAAATGAGCACTTGATTTGTGATATTAAATTTATCAGTAATTTATATGATTTTTTTCATAATTATCCTTGAATTATTTGAGCACTATTCTCTTAATTTTTTAATCTAATTAATTAATGCATCTCTACTTAAGTAATGACTTTTTGGCTACTTCCTCTATCCTCATAAAAAGAGAGAGACCATGAAATTAATATGCCACATTTATTAATTATTAGCCAAAAAATTTGTTAAGATAATTGAAGGTAACGTATATAGTGAGATGATTTCTTTCATGTGAGAGTGTGAGAAATAAACTTTGATAATCAAATTTCATAATGAATTGCCATGATTAAATCATATAAATTTTGTAAATTTTTAGAAAAACTTTATAATCTTTTTAAGTGATTATATGAACTTTCAAATCTTATAACATGATCATTTATATATGCTTGTATGATTTAGATTTGTGTTTTTCACTCTAACATGAAAAACTCCTTTTATGTATATATACAAGAAATGTTTTTAGTAAGAAAAGCTTTTTTTTATGTAAGAGTGAGAGATATAAATATAAAATCATACATGGATGTTCAAAATTAAAAGTTTCAAAAACTCATGTGATCACGAATGGTAAGACTAAATATGCATGGCCTATTTTATTTTATGTTTTTTTTAATGTGTGATCAAGGATATGTACAATATCAACATACTAATTAAAAAAAATTATTTTCTCAAATAACTTTTAAGAAGTTATGAACAAAAAATATTTGTGTTCAAAAATTGGTACAAAATTATTGCATCTTAATTGGTAATCTTGAATTTAGTCCTGAGCTATATAATTGCAGAATCGGAACAGATAAAGATCATAGCAACATAATTTGTTTTACTTTCTTTGGTTTAAAATTTAGCGACACAATATGCAGCCAAGAAAAAGGTAGAATTAAGAAGTATCAGTAGGCTTTTCAGATAGAAAAGAAAGGTGAAATAGGGTAAAATGTAAAATATAGTATAATGCCACATTTCTTAGTTTTGACAATAGAAATATCGGTGGCAAAAAACAAATGGTTTTTGTTAGGGCTAACAATACTTCCATGTAATGGTAAAAGCGGTCCCCTTAACAACATTAGACTTTGATCACACGTCCACTTGTTATCTGAAATTTGACATTAAAGAAATGCTTAAGACTATTAATTAAACCGTTTCAAGCTGACAAAACCAGTGGAATAGAAGCTCTGGGGAATGGAATAGAAACGGGATTTTCGGACTCTGAGGAGCCTTGAAACCAATTATATAATCCTAAGTTGCTCTAACTGGAATTTTCCGTTGAATTATATATTTGATCTGTGTTTTGGAATCTGCTTCAGGCCCACGTTTCCAAATCATATTTCAAAAGTTTCAAACACAACGCATAAAATATATCATTTCTTGGAACTTTGCTTTCTCTTGGCTTGTAGCGGATTTAATCCTAAACTTTCATGAGATTAATATGTTGAAAGGGTAATTGAATATAAGATCGTAATCCCTAGATGCTGCTACTTTGGTGGTTTATTGAGATTCCACCTTTTGGGTCATAAACAAATCACACACACAAAAATAAAATAAAATTGTAAACACCTACTAAGGTGCTTAAATTAGGAATGAAAAAGAAATAAAAAATTGATAAATGAAATAGAAAATACCATGTGATAAAATATAAAATAGAAAACATTGAATGAATTTAATACTGTTTGAATGCTTATGAATGATAATTATATAAAAAAAATTTCCTTAAATAAGAGTTAGTACTATGCTATGATAAAAATCACAAAATCTCCATTCTCTTAATGACTTGGATTTCTTTGTTGGCATAGTTGTTCTCTTTTTAAGAGCTTTTCCTTTGCTTCTTCCTCTGTGTCTAAGCCAAACCATACCTCGCAAAATACGAACTCCTTTAAACGTCACCACAAAAGGCGGCTGAACCTTCGGAGGCAGATCCCTTCTCAGGAAGCATATAATGGCTTCACACATTGAGTGAACTTCACACATTGCTTCAAAGCCTTAAACCATTTATCTTTTTGAAAAGCAGCTTCCACTACTCTCATTGTTTTTGTGGTTGTTTGGTCAAAATCTTGAGGAAACACAATTAGGGTCTATCTCTCTCTCTCTCTCATTGAATGTAACAAGATTAGGTTAGGTTTTGCTTGTAGGAGAAAATAGTTAGTTCAAGAAATGGAAGGGAAAAATGATGGTGAGAAACTTGATGAGATTATGCTACCGGGGTTCAGGTTTCATCCAACAGATGAGGAGCTTGTTGGGTTTTACCTAAAGAGAAAGATTCAGCAGCGACCTCTGTCTATTGAGCTCATCAAGCAACTAGATATCTATAAGTATGATCCTTGGGATCTTCCAAGTAAGACAAACACACACTTGCTCGGTTCATGTATAAACTACAGTACCATTGTTTGAAGTTCTCTACTGCATGGTATCTAACATATAATGTTTACATATTTCTGACTTCTATAAATTTACACAATATTTTTACCTTATTTTTCCTTTTATTTCTCAAATTTTCTCACCTTACATCACCTATCATATTTGTTATGTTTTCTCTCTTCCTTTTATGTGTTTTACTTGTTAAGTATATACCCCTTGTCAGTATATAACAACCATTTTATGGTTCTATTGTGTGTAGAGCTGGCTTCCACGGGGGAGAAAGAGTGGTATTTCTACTGTCCCAGAGACAGAAAGTACAGGAACAGTGCAAGGCCTAATAGGGTAACAGGAGCTGGGTTCTGGAAAGCTACTGGGACTGATCGCCCTATCTACTCCTCAGAGGGTTCTAAGTGTATTGGCCTGAAGAAATCTTTGGTGTTCTACAAAGGTAGAGCTGCCAAAGGGGTCAAAACTGATTGGATGATGCATGAGTTTAGACTACCTTCCCTCACAGACTCATCTTCATCCCCCAAGAAGTACATAGACAAAACCATTCCTGCTAATGTGAGTAAAATTTCTCAAAGCTATATTTTGCTCAGCCAAGTTTTCATTTTGAGAAGAAAAATGTTTGTCTCGGTTCAATTATTTTCGTGTTCCTGTGATACCTTTTAGACAATGTCATAATTTATACATGATGAAAGGAGATAGTAAAACAAACTCCTTTTATAACCCTTTTTTTTTACTTATTCTTTTTATCTTTTTTATACATATGTATTTTAAAAATACACTTCAAAATAAAAAAAAATAAGAAGAAGCTTTTAGTGATATATAAATTTTTTAATATTGAAAGGTGATGTAAAATAATAAAGATTTGGTTAGATTAAGATGTTAATGAATCAGTCCAAATAATTTAGATTCTAACATTTATCATGACGGTAGGAATCAAGACTATTTTATATCACTTGTTTTTTACTCCTTCTCTTACCCCTGTTGAGAAAAATAAACAAATAAAACCTCCTCTCTAATTTTTTTTTTCTTGTCTTTGTGATGTAAACCTAATTTTTTCCTCGTTGTATATAAATATCATTTATTGACTTACTAATCTTAGGTTGATTTTGAACTTGCAGGAATCTTGGGCAATTTGCAGGATATTCAAGAAAACCAATGCTACAGCTCAAAGAGCTCTCTCTCAACCTTGGGTCTCTCCCTTACCTGAAACGACCACTTCTGATCATATGCTAACCAATGATAGAGACAGTAACCAATTTTGTCAACAAAACATGCCATTGACTAAGAAAACTAGCTTAACCAGCCAGTTTTGTGATGTTGACCACAATGACACACAAAACATAGCCACTGGGAATAGTGCTCCTTGTCCTCTAGATGTTGCCTCTTATAATAAATCCATTATTAATCCATTATTGCTTTACAAGCCCTTAGATCGGTTACCCATTTCAAATGGAGACCTCAGCACTGGCTTTATATTTTCATCTCCTCTTGGAACATCTTCAACTGGTGCTAAATCTTCAATGGATGCTTCGTCCTTGCTATTGAGTATGTCAACTTCTGTGCTTGGAGATTTTAGTACTAAGACCTCTGAGGGAACAACCACAAATTTTGGGGGGTTACTGGAGCATAGTAGTGGCTACCAAACACCATTACTACGTGACATGCAAGGGACCATTGGCAACCAAGATGATAATGTATTGGTAAAGATTCCTAATGTTAATGTGCATCGTGTTGATGACCAACAACAATTGGAGACATTACGATCCATTGGGTTTCCATCTATGCCTTTCAATATTGGTGATGCATGGAAGCCAAATCTGCTTTGGGATACTTCCTCTTTGTCATTGTGATAATACACCCTCATGTTCTTCTACAACCAAGTGTTATACTTAGGGTAAGTGTACGTAGATTAACTTTTAAACACGTATTTGTATAAAAATAAAAAAGTAAAATATACTAAATTTCTCTCATAAATTAAAATTTACTTAAAATTAGTCTTTTATTTCTTTTAAGCATCTTTATTTTTTTTCAAAAACCTGAGATATATAAATTTTAATTTATGAGAATAATTTTATTTATTTTATTTCTTTATTTTTTATCCTATATATATTTTGGTAGAAGCTTATTTAAAGCGTGTCTTGTTCCAATTCACATTTTTATAGTTTCTAATGTGCAGGTACTAGAGTAAGCGGGGCCTTTACTTTTCTTTTCATTTTTAACTCGGATTTCAGTTCATTTTTATAGTTTCTAATATGCATTTAGAATCTTTCTGTTAGAATTCCCAAGTTTTTGTAACTTGAGACAGGATGTGAACTCTCAAATTGTAGAAAGAATTTTGGAGGCAATGTTGAGGTTTCAAAACAAAAATGAAAAGGTTTATCCCAAAAAGAAAAAAAATGAAAGAGAAAGCAAATGACGCCAATATTTGCAGAGAGAGCTCTATTTCTGCTTGTACACATGATGAGCACTCCCAGCCATTTTAAAGTATGTCGCACGTATCCAGTGATCTAGATCGCATGTCCAACCATGCATTTTAAAGTTTTAATTTTTAACATTTTGTATAATAATTGTTGTGTGAATTTTATCAAACATATCACTACTTTTAATAATTTAAGTAAGTTTCTTCTCTAATGATGTAATTCTAACAAATTTATTAAATAAGTCCAACAAATTAATTAACTCATGAATATTTTTATATCTCATAAACATTTATTTCTACTTCAACTTAAAATTATTATCATGGTTTTAAACTAACAGTTATCATTTATAAAAGTTTAAACCAACCGATATCATCTGTTACCAAAAGCTGATAGCACTCTAAATTATTATTTTTTTTAATGCTATTATGTTATTTAATAGATATAGGTTAGTTGCTTTTGATCTTATTTAATTTGATAAAATAAAGGGAAAATCACAAACTAAATTGTATTGACAAAGTCGTAGTAAAAAAACATGATAAAAACACCATTTTTATGTGTCGTATAACAACACGAAATATAAACTTGTTTTCTATCCATAACAAAAATTTAAATAAAATCAAATAAGCAATCAATTTCATTAGAAACAAGTTGTCCCTCTTAAGGCCTTCACATATCAGTTCTTTCCACAATCAATGACAAGATCAATATCTGCGCAAGACAGAGAAAATTAATGGTAAAATTATTATTAAATTTTAAAACCATAATACATTTTCGTGCTTGTTTATCTTTCAAAACAATATGTTGGAATAAAATATTAGTGTTTTTTAATTAAGGTTCATGTTTGTTGTGGTTTGGTTTTATTTTAAATACTTTCCTTATGTAATCTTTATAGTACTATTTTGGTCATCTTTAAATTTAATTAAATAAGTAAAGATTATCATTTTATCTCTTTGGTTGCAACAACATCATGTTACTTTAGAGGTCATAGCTGGAAATGTTGGAAGAAATTATTGAAGATAACTTACGAACTCAATAATTAAAGTTATTTAAACATGATTTTGGACATTATTTGACTCGTTGTTACTTTAGTATGTTACTAATAATGTGATTCTAAGCTTATTTTATGCAAATTTTAGTTTTAAACATTGATTAATTAATTATAACCTTATGGTTAATCTTCAAAGGATTTTAAGTGTTCTTAAAGGTATTAATTAATAAAGTCTGAAGATTTCATTTTTGGGTCTGAGTCTCAAAAGAACATAGATGAATAATTTGTTTTTTGTCCACGAGAATGAATATTTTTAAATAATAAATGAATATGTCTAAGACATTACTTTTTGAAAAATCAACCGGTCTAAGGCAAAATAGCCTTCGTACGTGTAGAGGCATGCGCACAAGCCCAAAGGTTAAGCTATTTGATCTAACTTTTAGTTTTAATTCATTTTAAAATGAGAATTATATTTGACTAAGGAGAGCTTTTTTTAACATATTGTTACATATTTACAATATCTTTGAGTGGAGAGAGGAAAGATGGATTTTTCAAGGTCAAACTCATCTAAAAAAATTCAAATCAAGAAGTTGAAAGGAAGTGGTTAGATTTATTTTTTTTATTTTAGTTTATCATATTGTTAAATAAATTTTATATAATATAAAATTAATTTAATTTATTATTATTAATAATAAATTTTAGTATAATTTAATTTTTTTTCTTTTATTCATCCAAGTACAGTAAATCTTTTTATTTATTTAAAGAATATATTTTTTTTATTTTTAAGACATTTGTATTGGATAATTGTTGATATCCAAAGATATGATATTTTGTTTTGAATTTGTAGCAACAATATATGAATTTATTTATTTAATTAATTTATATTTTTAAAAAATAAAAAATGCACGTTAAAATTTAAAAAATATATATATTCTTTCTAATTTAACAATTAATAATAGTAAAATTTTATTTAAAAATATTTTTTTTATTTATATAACTTTAATGCAATGGATGTAATTTTTTTAATAAAAATTTGTCTCTTTTTTATGTTTAAACTCAACTTTAAAGATTAAGATTAATAAAATTTACTTTTATAAAGTCCATTTTTAAGACTTTTAGTGGTTTTTATTATAAAATTATTTATAAAATTTAAATATTAATAATTAGTAAGTTTTGGAAAAAATTTATTTTATATTCTTATTTTTTTGTTATGTGTAATTTATATAGATCTAAGTTTTTAAATTGTGTAACGCGATATCCTATATTTATTAAATTATGTGAAAGAGTGAATATGTTACTGAAACATTTAATTTGATTGTTTTTTTTTTTTGTTGGACATTTAATTTGATTACTAACTCTTCACATGCTTCTCACATGTGTAATTTGTTGAATATAAGTACCCTCGTTTTGAAAAGGAAGAAAATATGTTTTACATCTATACTTTTGGTCTTGTGCAATTTAGATTCTGACTTTTTAAATTCTACAACACAAATGTTTATACTTACTAAATTGTTTGAAAAAACTTTTTCGTTATTAAGACATTTAATTTTAGTATTAAGTCTTCATGTACTTCTCATGTCATATATTGTTGGACAAAAGGAGTGTGTTGATTGTTTGTTTGTGAGCAAGTGTATCCATCAAAAATTAATAAAAGATTCTAAAATAAGTTTCTGAAATATCATCCTACAAAGATTATTTTTAAGTATCACGAATATCTCAATTCAATTGTTTGAACTTAAGGGATGTAAAATTAAATAAAATAAGGATTCAAATATAAAAGTAATTAAGATGAATTAAGATAGCACAAATTATAACAATAAACTAATTAAGATGAATTCTTGAGCATATAGTTTTACCTTTATAATTCTCTATGTTCACTTTTAGATTAATTCTAATTACCATTTTCTTATGGTTGCCAATCATTTGTACTAAATTTATTAATACCTAATAGTTAATGCTAATAGTATTTTTTCTAAGCTATTACCCTCAATGGTTATGCAAGGTAAAAGAAAGGAAAAGTATGAAAAGCTTACGAGGTGTTAATTTAATAGCAGTGAAAAAACTGAGTTTGGTCCATCTAATCTTTTGCCTCGTTTTACTCTATAGATTCATTAACTATATATGATATGGTTGTCTACAATATAATAAATTATAGTATGTTTAAGAGTGTCAATTCTGAACATACAAATACAGCATAATAAGATAAATATCAATCAAGAAAAGAAACTAAAATTATTATCAAGCATAAAGATCACATAGAGTCATGCAAAAAAATCTACCATAGTTCTAGCAATGGATTTTAGCTAGACATAATGTAATAGAAAACTAAAACAATAATAAATCAATTTATAATAATTTAAAAAGTAAATGCAAACTAAAGAAGTTGACAATTGAGAAAAGATAGAGAGAATTCTTGATGTAAACATATAATGACCTTTTTCTAAAGACAAAAATATCCAATTTTTTTTACCCAAACTAAATTTATTCTTATTCTTAGTGAGTTATTCTCATATAGTCTGTTATATGTATAGTCCAATAAAACAAACACACTTTTAGTTACAAGTAACTTGTTAGACTTTCCTCCTTAGTAGTCCTAGAGACTAACTTAACATTCAAACAAGGCATAAGGCGTCTCATACTACTTTATACCTTGTACTCCAAGGATCTAATGCGTCCCATATCACATTAGTTCACAAGATAAATGTTAAATCCCTAACAAGGTAATTTTGCAACCATGATTTGGCTGACACAACTATGTTTTTAGATGTAGCAATTTTGCTAACAGAATCTTGTTATAATTCTCGAGTATATCTGTACCCTTAGACACAACATCGATAATTTGCAAAACAAGAATAAAAGAAAGGGGTGAGACTTTTCAAATACTTATAGAAGTAGTTAGGACTTGAAAGGAAGGAAAGAAATAAGAGAAAGTATAAACTTATATAAAATATTGATTTTCAAAAATTAACTTAACCAATATAATATAAATAATTTCATTCATTCATAAGCAGACACCTCATACATTTCCAATTCAATGCCAGACTATAATGCATAGGACTTTACATATGTTAACTTTTGGTTTGACCTTAAATCATTTGTTACGCTTATATGACTCTTAGATCCATTCCTATCATTGAATGTTGTTGGGAGTTTCACTAGCCAGCCTACATTTCACATGTATGGTGTATGTATAGTGGGGACTTAAACCTCCACCGACTAATTTAGCTCGACCAACATGATAAGTCTTGGGAGAAGGTCAAGATAAAAGGAGCATTGCGTGGAGACTCCCAGCCAAAGTTCTGGGACCTAGGACACTCGTAGGGCTATTGGTAAGTCACCCAACTCCATTAAATCTCCTAAATGTTGAAGTTCTTCCTGTCTTTTACCAACAACAATTATAAAATAATCTCGTGACTTCCTTCACAGAGGAGAGACATCCACA